TCCGTACTCCTTTCTTGATCTCCTCATCTCCCTCTCCATCTCTCCTTCCTTCAACCTCCCACCTGTCTGCTCTTCCCCCTTCCTCTCTCCCTTCCTAGCTACCCTCTTCCGCCCATCTCTCATGCTTCCCTTCCCTACTCCTTCACGTTCCTCCTCATATCCCTTCCCATCTCTCCTTTCTCTTCCCTCCCACCTCTCTCCTCTCCCCTCTCCTTCTCTTTCCTTCTCGCTCCCTATTCCTTGCCTCCGCCTCCTTCCTCGCGTCTCCGCTCCTTCCCCCCCGTGCCGGCCTTGTCTCACGATTTTGAGTGGCACTGCGAGTGGCTCACTTGCTTGGGTCAGGGGGGCACTCGTCCGCAAGCATCTGAGTTATCGTTATCCCTCGTGTTCTCCCTAATCTCATCTCTTCTTTCCTCTCCTCTTACTGTCTCCTCGCCCACTCACCAACACTCTTTCTCTTTCACCTACTCCCTCCTCTCAGCCGCATCTCCCGCCGCACAGAGCCGGTCTCCTCCACAGATCTGTCGTATCGTTCTTTGCTGCAGCTGGCCGGCAGCCAGCAACTACTGGCCAGAGGACGCACAAGAGGTAATTGAGCTCCCCCTGCCTACGCCCCTCGCGGCTGCTACCTTGAACATTGCACAGCGGACCAAGCAGGGAGGAAAACTTCCGGGTGACCGGCGGGACGGGCCGAAGCGCCAACAAAAAGCCACCCAATACCTTCCGTGCAACGATTTTTTTTTTAAACAAAAAAACATAATTGATGACATGATTTTGGAATCGTATCTTCTAGTTCTGATGATACAATGAAGGCCCTTGTGGGCCTTTTGATAAAACACTTTGCATTTTAATTGCATCATGAGGATGATAAATTTGTATGGGATGTCCATGGATCTTTGCAACTTCGGTTCCTGAGCGCCCCAAGACTTGCATCATTACCGTACATCTTCATGATCAATTTCAATGCAAATAATGCGCTCCTTCCAAATCGTTGCATGAAAAGTTTTGGTGGCTTTTTGCCGCCGTGGACTGGGGCATCTACGAGCTGGCGAAGCGCTTGAGGCCTGAGCCTGCTGCGGGAGGCTGCGAGCCCGAGGGGAGCGGGCGACTGCTGCGCCGCAGGCACCTGACGCCGACGCCCACGAGGACAACGCCAAGCGGCATCCCATGCACGCCGCCTGGCGGCATCCATGTGCCGCCGCCGCACCGCCGCGGCCCGCCAACGCCAGCGCCGACGCCAGCCGCTGAAGCACTACGACGGGCGCTGCAACGCCAGAGCGCCGACCAGGGCGCCGACCAGACCGCCGACGAGAGCGCCGACCAGACCGCCGACCAGAACACTGGCGCCAACGCCAAGCCCGGCGCCTACGCCTTGAGCTCGCGCGGACCGAGGCCTCCTCCTGGGCCGCCACCAACGCGCCTGCGCACCGAACAGGGCGCCGACCAGAGCGCCGACCAGGGCGCCGGCCAGAGCGCCGACCAGAGTTACGACGAGGGCGCCGACCAGGCTGCCGACCAGAGCGAAGACCGGAGCGACGACGAGAGCGCCGACCAGAGCGCCGACCAGAGCGACGACAAGGGCGCCGACCAGAACGCCGACCACAGCGACGACCAGGGCGCCGACCAGAACACCGGCGCCAGCAACGCGCCCGGCGCCTACGCCTTGAGCTCGCGCGGACCGAGGCCGCCTCCAGGGCCGCCACCGGCGCACCTGCGCACCGAACAAGGCGCCGACCAGAGCGACGACAAGAGCGCCGACCAGAGCGACGACCAGGGCGCCGACCAGAGCGACGACCAAGGCGCCGACCAGACCGCCGACCAGAGCGACGACCAGGACGCCGACCAGACGACCGCCCTGAGCTCGCGCGGCCCGAGGCCGCCTCCTGGGCCGCCGCCGGCACACCTGCGCGCCGAACAAGGCGCCGACCAGAGCATCTTCGAGGGCGCCGGCCAGAGTGACGACAAGAGCGCCGACCAGAGCGACAACCAGGGCGCCGACCAGAGCGACGACCAGGACGCCGACCAGACCGCCCTGAGCTCGCGCGGCTCGGGGCCGCCTGCAGAGCTTCTGCAGCAGGGGGGCTGCTGAGCGGAGCCCTCCCCAAAAAGTAGCCAGAACAGCCCGAGGACTCCCAGGATGGCCCTGAGACAGTGTGCAAGAAAGCAGGTGTTCTCTCTGAAATTTGGATGGCAAGCTGTCCCCCTCAGGCGCCTCTCCTGCCAAGAGGCTTCCCGGGGCGCCCCGAGAGAACGCTAGCCCTCCCTTGAACTCCTTTCGGAAAAGCCGCCTCCCCCGAGAAGCTTCAAGAGTTTCCAACAAACCCTGGGAGGTCCCGGCAGGTCCCGAGAGGTCCCGGGAAAACCGACGTGGCCCAGGAGGGCCCAGGATGGGGCAGACAACAAAACCCCTGACGGGGCATTTCCGCCGTGGCCCGACAGAGCGGGGAGGAGAAGAAGGAGAAGGATTAGTTTTTTTTTGATTTCGTGGATGATAAAATTA